TGCATAGTGTACTGTGTGTGGACAGTCAGATCTCCCAAGTGGGGTTGTCAGTCATTGTCCAGATGGTGGCACGTGGCAGGAGGCTCTGTCCTTGCAGGGCATCTTCAGCTGGATCAGGGGAGATTCCCCAAATTAAGATTCCCCAAATTGCATTTGTTCTCAGGTCGTACGTACAGCTGGTCTGTGATCATACATGACCACTCTAGCATGTGTGATCCATTGCTATAGTTTACCTTAAGCTACATACAGAATACCTCCTATGCTAACTGTGGGCTCAAGATGGTTGTACATGAGGTTATCTGCATGTGCAGGAATAGTTTCTGTTGACTACTAGCAAGTGTCTTATCGATGTACTTTTTGGTCATTTTTGCAGTGGAAACTGCACTGGGGGGCTGTTGGGTCAGCCACAGTCCCTACCAAGGATGGCAGTTAGCAACCCTGAAGTGATGAACGGTGCCTCTCACTTGTCGTATACGCAGGAGGAGCCTGCTGGAGCAATCTCTGAGGCTGCCTGAAAATGAGGAGAGGTACTATAGCAATTAGTCAAATACTTTGTCCTGAAGTGAGCAGTTCAGTCAGTTACCTTGTCTCAAATCAATTTGTTGTATCCACCTGGAGTACTGCGTTCAGCTCTGGAGGCCTCAACATAAGAAGGACATGGACCTGTTGGAGTGGGTCCAGAGGAGGGCCACAAAGATCATCAGAGGGCTGGAGCACCTCTCCTATGAGGAGAGGCTGAGAGAGTTGGGGTTGTTTGCCTGGGGAAGAGAAGGCTCCGGGGAGATCTTATAGCAGCTTTCCAGTATCTGAAGGGGACCTACAAGAAGGCTGGAGAGGGACTTTTTAAAGGGGCGTGTAGTGATAGGACGAGGGGGAATGGCTTCAAACCGGAAGAGGGGAGATTTAGAATAGATATTAGGAAGAATTTTTTCACTGTGAGGGTGGTGAGGCACTGGAACAAATTGCCCAGGGAAGTTGTGGATGCCTCATCCCTGGAGGTGTTCAAGGCCAGGCTGGATGAGGCTTTGAGCAACCTGGTCTAGTGGGAGGTGTCCCTGCCCATGGCAGGCAGGGTGGAACTAAATGATCTTTAAGGTCCCTTCCAACCTCAACCATTCTTTGATTCTGTGATCACCTGTGCACAAACTGGCAGGGGCGGGTCCTGGAGCACATTGCAAACTGATGGGTAAGTGCCCTGGGTATGTGCAGAGCCAGTTACACTACAATTAGAACACAACTGCAGTACAAACAAGTTTCATTCTTATGTCACAGTTATAAATTAAATTGCATAGGTTGTGCCACAGCATGCATATACGTGTACAGTAGTTGTGAGTTTGTTTTATTTCTTCAAACCCTCCATTTTTATCACTATAGTTAAAGCAAATTTAAACAATTACAACCAAAAATGATGATTGGTTATATTGTAAGGCAATTTGGCTTTCAGGACCATTCTTTATGGGTACTTTATGCCGTCTGAAAGCTATGAACATAGGTTAATGGTCTCAGTCTACATTTTAGTGAATAGAATTTGAACTGTTCAAATCACAGTAGAAATTCTGCCACAACATAGTTGTGCTAAAACCTAAGTGATTTACTGCCATAGCTGTGCTGTACTGGGCTGTGCTTGTGAAATTATGCATCTGATTATATTTGTATGTTGGACCTGAATATTTCATAGTGCCTTTGCCTAATATGCATGGGTACCTCTCAGAAGATTTTTCGTCGCTGAAATCAAATAAATTTAAAAGCCTTGCTTTATGCAGTTGTCTCCTCTGAACTGAGACAACTACATTTGCCATTACTCTGCCCAGAAGCCTGCAGGTGGACGTCAGTGTCATATAAGTAACGGCATTTTGTTTAAGAGAGTCTTGCATTGCTGAAGTATTTGTTGATTTCATCCTCTCTGTCTCTGCCTTGTATGTGATGATGTGACCCACTAGGTATATTCTTTTCAGATAAGCTGCTGCTAAAAGCAGGTAAAACAACATCGCTTTTACAAAGCAAGAGCAAGGGGTTGTATTTGAAAGTGTTTCCGTGCCAGTTATGTTTGTCTTCATGAGCTATTAGTCGCCAGTTGGTTTGACCTGGATAGGTTAGATGCAACACGATACAACACAATCCTCTCCTGTTACAAGTTCTGTTACTAAATCCCTCTGCACAGGAGCAAGGAAGGCTTCTCAGGTGGAGTGGGTTGTATGTTAGTTACAGTCAAACAACACCAAAATTGAGATGGAGAATTTTTGGATGTACCAGGTTGAGTATCATAAGAAAAACGTAAGTAGATATCAAAGAGGAGAAGTGGAGTAACTAGTATTTTTTTATTGCTGCACTTAAGGAACCACTTTGCAATTCCATTGATGGACATCTCTGTGTAATAACAGCATGTTTCATGTGAAGTTATTATGTTTGTTCTGACAGCATTTTAGTTATGCTTCTAAAACTTTTGTTAATTTTCAAGGAAGCAGTCACTAAGCATTTATTTTACACTTTAGTTTGTAGTGTTTTGAGTGGCTATGCAAGTTGACTGTCCACTATGATTTATCGAAATATTTCTTATTATTGCAATGAAAGCTACTTCCAGACTGTGACTGCATTCTTTCTTTGTGCACTGTATATGGTACCTCTAAAAATGCATTTTGATGCAGAAGAGAACTGAGTGTTTATTCTTCAAAGACTGAACTTTTTTTGTACAAATGTTTTTGGGGACAGCTCTTATGTCATGTCATGTAGCAAGCTTTGTAGGTCGTTTGATATTTGGGTTTGGTAGTTTCAGTTTTGGGATTTTTTTCCCAGGAAAAAATTAAGTATACAACAGAGCACATGGAAAGCTGTGTGATCATTTTGATGGTTGCTTAATTCTGATACTTTATAGATTAAAATAGCTGAGTAAAGGTGTTTGTAGTGCTACTGGAGTAACTCAATACATTTTAAATGGTGCAAAATTTCTTAATGTCAGCAACCAACCAGTTTAAATGAAATCATTTATTGTTATTACTTTAGTGTGTGAATCTGAGAGCTTTCAGGCATTTTAAAGAACTGCTTTTTTTTGTGGAAACATTTGATGCTAAAGTATGACGTGCTTTACTTTGTTTGTTTCTTTACTATTTAAAGATCAATCCTACAATGTCCTGATGCCATTATTAGGTTGATAGTATTGTGCAGCTTTTATGTTTAATCCTAATACAGAAGTACTGTGTAACTGTTTGGAACGTGAGCTCTGTGAGGATGCTTCCTTAAGTAAATAGGAGTTTCCCTGTGTGCAGTTGAATCACTGTGGCGCTGTAACTCCAGTAGTTACACAGCAAGTCAGTGGAGCCTGAATCCCTCCCACAGCCCCTGTGTGAATGCTGGAGGTGCAATGAGCAGTCCTTCAGTCTGACGGCACAAGCACATGCCACCATTCCAGAGACATTTTCACATCTGCATCTGGTCAGGGACTGTTTCTAGATTGGAGCTGCTAGATTGGAGCTGCTGCCAGCTCAATAGTATTTGACTGTTTTGCCATCAGTGATGAACTGTTGAGATGGCAAAGCTGGGGCTGAACTCCCTGTGAGAGTGTAGAATGCCAGAGCTGCTCGGCTGGATACTCACCTTGCATAGCTAAATGCTAAACCTTCCTATGAGGATTCACATTTTGGCGTGGGCACTGACATGTTTTATGGGTATCTCCTTAAGATCTGTCTTCAAAGATGCCTGCTGTGTTGAAGCTTTGTACTCTCATTTTGGTTACCTTCATTAATTCCACACTCTGTGTTCCTGTGTCATACTTCCATACCAGTCCCCCCTACTCTGGACTTTAGTACCTCACTACAGCTTTTTAGTGTCACCAGCGTTCATTAGAACTGTGATTAGGATATCCTTTCGCAAAACATTCTTTCCCTTTACCAAGAGACTTGCTGAGGGATCACAGAGATCTAGATAGTCCGTGATACTGCTTTTGTATGCTGTTCCCTTTGCTTTTTGGTGTGACATTCTTGATGATCATGAATGACTAGGACATGATTAGAAAGACAGTTTCTCCACTGAACTGTTCACGGTGAAGGGACAAAAATGAGGAAGTCTGGTCTAGGGAATATGCATAATGCACAAACTGTGAAATATTTTCCAAGTTTGCACTGTATCTAGGATGAGGAATCATAGTCCTTGGTTACGCTGGTATCGAGTAGTCCTTGAGTATACTCATAAGTCCTTGAATACCTTAGTATTACTCTGTACAATTTATTAAAGTTGCTTTCTAAGATGATGTAATAACATTTATGGACAACAACTTCAGCCTAGATCTGCTCAAATTAGATTAGTTTAGCACTTCAGATTAATTATACCTGAAAGCATGTGTGTTCATGGGGAAATTGTAGTCTTGTCTTCACTGTCCCCAATTTGAAAACTAAGTGATCTTTAGCTGAATCCCTGTGTTCTGGTCGTGGTCAATTCACCTGTCTACCATCACAGCTTGCTTCTTAGCGACTTTATCTTTTCTTTCTTAAAATGTCAGGGCTTAGGACTTCTGTCTGCATTGCCTGCAGCCTTCAGTAAGCTCACAATCATTAGCCTGTATGCAATAGACATGTACTTGTGCAACTGAGAGTCCTGTAACTGCAGTTTAGTTGGATGCTGACAATAAGTGGAAGTAGTTAGCCTAATACCAATATCCTCCATTGACCTTGCAAAAATACAGTTTTATGACACATTTTTTGGCTACATGTTGCTTGCCACTGAGTACAGCTTTTTTATTTTTCCAATGGCTCCATTTCATACATTACTGACAAATAAACACAGGTGGGTTTTTAACAGATTTCGCTGTTTGGAATAAGCCCACTGAGATACTGATATGTGATCATTATGATAAAAAGCAAGGGTTACACGATTTTAAAAGTCTGTCTTGTTTTTTTCTTTTTTTCCACCTCATCTCTTATTTTGGCTGCCAAGTTAGAGGAAACTATGAAAGAACAATTTCTACATTGGTGACTCAGATTATTATTTACTTTTCTCGCCATGTCTAGTCTCCATCTCCGGATTCCTCTTCACCTCGGGGTGCTGAATCGTCAAGTAGGCAACATCACCAGGATGTCTGCAGTACAGCAGAGGCCTCCACTAATAAAGAGGTAGAGTGAAATATTTTTAAAAGCCACAGTCTTGTTCATGCTGCTTATGCCTTTTTATTTTCCTTTTCTCCTTGTACCTGTGCAATCCCTTTTCTTCTTCTAAAATTGCAACAAACTTGAAAAGCTGATTTGTAGCTCCTTTCCCTTATGCTTGGCTGTCTGTCTGACTGAATTTCTAGCATACTTAAGACTATTTATCATGGCATTTCTGACTCTGTGTGTTCAGCTGCCACAAAATTTATTTAACAGGCTGGGAGGTATTGATTTACCGAACAGCCAACATCACCTCAAAGAAGCCCGTTTCTTTTTTCCATGCAGAAAGGCTTCCCATAAAGAAAAGATTATTTCTTAGCCAGATGAAAAAGCTTGCTTAAAGAATAATATTTTGTCATTGTAAAAACTGACCTGCCAGTGATTCACAGTCAGAATTCAATTCCTGACTCCAGGCTCCTCAAAATAAAGCTAAACACTTTCCTCCCCTCCCACTGTCCCCCCACCCCCGCCTCACCTGGAAGCTTTTTACACTGCACTAGTTCCACCAACACAAAATGAGAAATGTGAGTAGAACTTTTCACAGTGTGAAAAGAAAATCATATGGCGTAAGAAGTATTTGGACTAGTATAGAATGGCTGGCTTTGTAAACAAAAAAATCTGCAAATATTTGGTTTATTTGCTTTTTGTTTTTTAAACTTCAAAAAAATGTAGAAACTGTAGTCTTAACAAGATACCATGTTGTTACTGATAGCAATGCATGAATTACTTTCCACAATGAAAAAAACCTGATCTACTATAACTGGAAATACTGATTAAAATTGAAACACTAATTAGCAATCCATTCTTTCTTTTTTTCTTTTGTTATGATCAAGGCATAAAAAAGCTTGTAACATGTATGTATTTGTTCCAGTCTGTATTTGCATTTAGAAAATAATGAAAGGTTTCAAAAGACTTAAGAAACTCATAATTTCGGATGTGCTAATGCCTTCAACAATAGATGGTGCCGTTAAATTTTCATCTGCTATATTGTTAGCTTGTTAAAACCCTTAGCTTTCTCCAGTAGAGATTCTGTCACCTCATATATATCCTAACTTTTAGCAGTTTTTAGATATCGATAAACTTACCCAAAGGAAGAAAACAAACAAGACACTACTCATTTCAGTTTTTAGGATGTGCTCACAGGTAGTGTCAGAGGTTGTATGCCAGGTTTCACAATAGGATGTGTCAGGCTGTTTGTTTCTCTCTCATGAGCAATAACGCCCACTTTAGTACTTCCAATGCAAGAACAACAGTGATAAAGCAGCCTCGTAATTTTGGGAAATGACTTTTAGGTCTTAGTAAAACCTTTTTTTTAAATGTAAATTTTAATAATATTAGGTGGCAGAGAGATTAACTGGAGTAATGCAACATTAATGACCTGGATATTACATTATTCATGGATATGTAAAATTGAAAGGGTTAGGTTTCCTCTTATTGGTAACTTTACCGATTACTTTGTTATACCTGTGGTCTTAGTAGAATGTCTTTCAACATGGGTAATGAACAAAAACACTTAATTTTGCGTGTAAGTTTTTGCAATAAAAGATATATGATGACAGTTTACACCACTCTGTCCTAAAAAGAAGTTGCATCAGCTAGTCAGATTGCTGAATAGTTGCCAAATCTGTCATTACAGACTTTGTTCACTGCATTTAAAAAAATAAAAGTACTATGGAAAGGGGATTTGTATGCATGAGCTGTCTCTGGTATGTAGGGGATTTGTCCTCTGGGCCTGTCAGAGTCCAGTGGTTGAATTTCCCTTGTAGCACTACACCAGCAGCAGTTACGAACAATTGTTGAAGTCTGTATGGATAGGTGGTCCAGTAAAAACATTAATCTGAAGAGATGAAAGAGCCAGAGATCTGAAAAGGCATGTCGGTGTTCTCACAGCAGCTTAAATGCTTTGGCAGTAGGATATTGCTGTTTATTGGCATCTTTATTTATGCTTGTACAATCTCTGATGGAGACCTTTCTTGGTTTTGCAGTACATCTTAGCCATTTTCATAAGGAGCAGTGAGTACTTAAAGGCTGCACAGGCTCTGCTGTCTGTGCCACACACCTTTTGTTTTATTTCACAAGTTGTTTCATAGCAAGATGAGCATCATTGGTTGAAAAATACTACTTGTTACATCCATTTTCTATTTGTTACAACGGAAAACACTGATAAATATATAGATTTTCTTTTAATAAAAATATATTAAGCAGTTATTGGAGCAGTTACTGCTAATATAATTGATTATTAATTGATCATTAAAGTTTTGTAGTCCGTAGACTGTCAAAAATTCTTATCTGCAACACATATGATAGCTGCAGATATTTCAATATACCTATTACCATCTATATATTGCCACACAGAATTTTCTTTGATAAATTTTCCTATGTGTTTTATGTTGTTGTTTATAACAAAATGGCGAATCTTACTCACTGGAAGTTGAAGCTTCGAGGTGTTTTAAGTGTTAGCCACACTTTCACACTTTCATGTAAAATTGCAATTGGAAGTAAGGTCTTACTTTAGATTGTGTATTTACATATGTAAGTCAGGATATTTTTTTTGTATTTGTTCACCTTTTATGAAGTTGAAGCTACTAGATGTGGTTTTGTGCTTGATACAGTGTAAACATAGTTGGTGGTGAGGTGTTAGTGAACTCAGTTACCGCACAGAATGCAGGTTGCTACCTTACCTGTTAAAATTTAGAAAGCTTTTTCCAGCCTGTGTTAATGTGAGGGATGCATCTAAGAACAGTCCTGATGAATAACAGAATTTGGTTAAAGAACAACAGGATTTTCTTGATGAATAGTTGACTGGGCTGATGGTTTCAGTCATGAATAATAACAGTATAGCATAATTTTATATATTCCTACATGTATTTATTTGTAGTTGGAAGATCCAGTGTCTTTGATATATGGTGTATTTTCCTGCATACTTCTTGATTAGTAAAAGTAGCGCACCTATTGGTAGACAGTTAATATACTATTGAACACCAACAAGTAACTGAAAACTGGGCCTCGCATGGTGCCAGATAGAAAAACACACAAACAGAATACATTGAATTTAACTCTAGTAGATGCTTAGAGTTTGAAAACAATAAATCTAATCATAAATCTTAATAAATGGTGATCTTCATCTGCTGATAACTATGATTGATTTACTTTTTTGGTGTTTTTTTGCATTGAGAAATTTTTAGTGCATATTTGTGTTTGTTTGTTCTGTTTGAAATCCTTTTTGTCTTAATTACAGTCCAGAAAAAGCTTGGCTTCATTTCCAACCTATGTTGAAGGTAAGATAGTTCTATAATTTCTGAATGTTTTTTCATATCCAAAACACTCCAATGTTTATAATGTATAAAATTTTATTTTTATTTGCTGAATAGAAAAGCTGTTAGGGTTGGGTATATTGATTTAGATTAAATTGTGTCCAGTGAGAAACCTGAGCTAAATTCCACTATGCTCTTTCCGTAGATCAGAAACATGGAGCTTTTACTTTTTTATTGTTTCATTCATAGTTTCTGTCTCAGTTCTGCTGGTTTTTTATCAGTATCACTTAAAACACTAGTAATTTTTTTATGGCATTTACACATGTGAATGTGCATGGACAAGGAAAATAGGTTAGACAAGAAGACTGTAGTGCTCTCTCCAGCACTGATTTCAACTGGCAGGCTCAATCCAATCTCAAATGGATTAATTAGCAGAACTGAATTAATTGGATTAATTGGCAGGCCTGCCAGATGAAATCTGCACTGCTTTACAGCTACTTGTCCTCTAATTAAATAGTGCTTCCTGTCTTAGAGTTAAGGTTGCACTTGTCCTAGTGCTGAGTTTATTCAGAACATGTGAAACAGCTAGTTACCTGCTACATGAACTGCTGTTACCTGTTGTATGAGTCTGCATCCTGTACACACAGGAAGACTGCATGCTGTAAAACCCAGTTGTTTTGTTATGACACTATGACAGAAGCAGAAAATTAGAAGTTTCATTTGTTTGGGATTTTTCCCCCCCTGGCAGCAGTTGTTCCATATGCTTGATGAAATGCCAGAAATACAGATGATGTGATACATCATTTGGACTGTCTTGGAAATCCTTGGATTGCTTTACAGTGTGCTGTGTTTAAATGATAGTGTGATCATTCTCTTTAGACAACAAATTGATCATTGATTTAGTCTTTTGGAGTTTGTGGCCTGAATGACAGCTAATGTAAATTTGATATATTGTTTTGAAACTAGCTGAACTTTGGAATTTTGCAGCAATGAAGGATCTCTCTTAGAATTGAAATTCATCTCCTAGTGGTAGCCCTGTCTATCAAGGGCTATTGTAAATAATCCGCCCCTCCTGAAAAAAAAACAAAAACAACAAAACAACTGTCAACTAAAATTTTCTTAGATCTTGGTCCAGTGCAACATTATTTTTAAAAAAACCCAGATTTTCATTTTTTATGCACTAGCAGTCCAAGAAAAGCTTGCTAGCACCTATGCTACACTTCTGTTCAGATAATAATTTCATTTTCGGAGCTTATAAATGTAGGGGGTCTTATAAAAAGCAGTGCTGTCTGTGTGTTCACCTCTGATGAAAATAGAGCATGTACCTTTTTTGGTTTTAATATGCTTCCTTCTGGGAGTCTTATCTACACCTTTGTCAGTCTATATTCATGGGTTTTGTGTTTTGATCAGAAATTGTACTATAAAGGGGGTTGTACCCTTTATAGTGAAGTGGTGGAAATGCTGAAAAGGCCTTGACATGTAGAGTAACAAATAGCAACACTTAAAATGCTGTATGATTTCAGGATTGGAAGAGTCTGCAAATAGACATTACTTCCAGATGCTTAAATTTCCCTAAGGAAAAAATTCCATTTCTTTGGGTTATGTGCTTGAAAGTGACTTGTTCATTTCGGAGGTTTTCCAGATACATAGTATCTGAACAAATTCTGCACGCTGGAGATGAGCATCTTAAAATTACTAGTCATAAATTTTCGTATGTAAAGAAACCATAAAGGAGACAGGCTTGCTAATGAGATCTATACATCTACTTCTGTCTGTGTGTGTAGTTTCAGTTTGATACTTATCTCCAGCTCTTTCCTCTGTTATTATAACCTTAATAATGACTTGCATTTATTTGGGGCCAAAGTTACTCATGCTAATTCTGACTGGTTGTTAATCTCTTCTATGATAATTAGAAAAAAATTGTCATTCCGAGTAATGTTAAACTTTAAGCCTCATCACCTTATGTCTCAAGATACCCTTTGAACTACTAAAAACTCCCTTCTGATATTGTACGGTTTTTGCTTTGTTCTTGGAGGAAAAAAAAGGCAAACCTAGAAGCAGGTTATTTTGGTGATAAAATGTGGACACTTTTACCAGTAGCATTCTTTAAGATGACTTGCATTTTCACTTACCTTGAATATCAATTGTTTTTCCTTAGTTGTAAGAAAACAAGAAGCTTCGTAAGTTGATCAGCCTCCCTTTTGAATCATGACAATTTTAACACGTAGCAAGGTGTTAAAATAGAACATTTTTACATATACAATTTTTAGATATAATCACTCACCAAAACAATTGCAGATCATAAATGCTGCTTTGTAAGGATTTGCATTGTTCAGCACTAAACCCTTTGCCACCCTCTAACTTTCTACAGAAATTGATGGGAGTCAAATCATTAAGAATCTGTGGGACTAAGAGACTTGTTCTGCCATCAGGAGAGCCCGTGCTCCCTGTATTTAACAACATTTTTATTTAACTCTGTACTTTACCTCAATATCCTTGTTGAGAATAAGAATGATTTTTAAAGGTCTGTGGCGTAAAAGTACTTTGCTTAATTGGAGAAGTCAGTCTTCTTGGTAAGGGGAGATGTGTTGTACCTGTAAAGCACTCCCGAGGAGGTTCCTCTGCCTGTTGTACTGACTGCAGCTACACACAAGAGAGCAAGTGGCTGATGGCTGTTATTAAATTAAACCCCGTCCTCTTTCTGTTTGTGGCTGTTTGTCTTAGAATCACAGGGCTGGTTTTGGTGGGTGAGGGGCAAGCTGAGTAACTGGGTCTGTCCCTTTATAGCAGTGAAAACCCACAGAGATTATCTTGCTCCAGGGTGATCCCTGCTCACAAAAGAATGAGCTATTGTGAGAGACAGGCTGGATTAGCAATTACAGTTTTTGCTGGAGAGATGTTAAGAGCCTTTGCTTGGTATTTTGTACCTTTGGAAGTACTGTTTGCCGTACCATCATGCTAAACTGAAGTACTTTAGGGGAGGATTTGCAGCCATCAGGTGCAGGCTCAAGGTGTCAGAGTGCAGCTGTTTTGCCGTGGTTCAGCATGATTTTCTTTAGTGATTGCCTTCCTGTGTTACAGTTCCTGGACCTTGCGATCCTGAAGACTTAATTGATGGAATCATTTTTGCTGCCAATTACCTGGGCTCAACTCAACTCCTTTCTGATAAAACTCCCTCCAAGAATGTGAGAATGATGCAGGCGCAGGAAGCTGTCAGCAGGATCTTACATATGTAGTAGATTTTTCATGTGAGTTTGTCTGTGATTTCAGAAAGGTTAAGTACCTCATCTCTCTTTCTGCAAAATAGATCACATTTAATGCCACTTTTGGAACAAGACTGATAAGGAAATGTTACCAGATCATTTTAATTCCTTATAGTATTACTTGTGCTATGTACCCTAAGGTGCAATCCAAAATGAGTAGTGGTCTAAGTTATCTACTACCTGAGTGTTGATGGAAAACAGGTTTAGGGTATGACTAGTAATTATTGCGGCTGCTTCTGGCTTTGCACTTGATGAAACTGGTACTGTGGTAATCTCTGTGGTTATTTTAGACCCTGCTGTGGATACTAGTTTCTCCACCATATAACAGCTAATAAGATGATTTAAAAAGAAAAAGAAAGGCCTGTGACGGTACAGGACACAAAAAAAAATTGTCCTGGAATCCGGTATGTTTGCTTTGTTTGTTTGGAAAACAGAAATGTCCACTGATTTCTGTATGGACCACAACAAGCAATGGGCATGCTGCCATACTGTAAGTTACAACAATGATATTGTCAACTGAAATTAAGGTGTGTGGATGAAGTATTGCAGGGTTGTAGAGGATGCTGCAATACACCCACTACCCATATGTGAGCGGGTGGTAGGCATATAGCTTCCTCTTCTGCTAACTCAGCTAACCAACACAATCTTATCTGAAAGTTTTCCTTAGTTTAATATTTGAGTGTTCTTCTTTTGTATAGTTTATTTTGGATTCCAACTCAGACTCTATGTGCAGTTGTATAAAAGAGAGAGGAAGAGAGACAGCATGTTATCAGCAAGGCTGATAGCACTGTCTATTAAGGTTGGCTGATGCTTCCTACTGTTATTGTTCCTTCCAGTGTTTTCCATGCCAGGTGTCCGGTTTGGTCTGTATGCGAAACTTTCACAGAGAAGCTCCAGCTAGAAGCATTACTACACTTCCAGAAATTGTAATTTTGCTGATGTTCAAATACAGAAGTTCTTACAACCTTGTCTCTGAAAATCACTAACACTCTAGCATTTTAGAGGAGGCAGGGACTTAGCCTTCCTGTTACAGATAAGTCCTCTTCTGCCATCTCTGTAGAAGTTTCCACGCTATTGCAAAAGTATGATTTATCTGTGTTCATGGAGAATGTGGATTCAGTGACCTTTTTTAAAAAAGACTTTTCACTCAGCTTTCTCAACCCTGGCAGGTCTTGGTGGGTTCTTCCCAAAGCTACAGTGGAAAATTTCCCTTACAGAGTCTGCTTCTTTCCTGCTCTGGGTGCAAGTAAGGCTGTGCCTGTCTGTTTGGTAGTCCCTGTGTGTTCTTTCCTGATGCTTGGCTGCATGGTAGAAAACTTGTCTGATTTAAATGCACAGGAAACTACAGGTAAGATAGAGAAGGGAGAGAAATAAAGGCTTTAGTGAGGCTGGTTCTAGGATGCATCACTGGAGGCTGAAAGGAAAAACTAGCACCAGCTGTCATAGGAAACTAGTATCAGGATTTGAACTTGTGCGTGAAGCTGGGCAGGAAGTTTGCACCTCGGAGGTAAAGCTTGCGTGGGAGTACACAATAGACAAAGACTGAAGGGAAGTATTAGAGGAAACCGTAACAGAGTTGATTCAAAGCAGGTCTATGGAGGTATAAGAGTGTAGAATCTTCCTCTGATACCAGATGTGTTTCTTAGAAGTTCATTAACAAAATAAAGTTATTTCTGAGGATTCTATTATGCCTCAACACTGCTGTGCCTCAAAACAGAAGAAATCTGTTTAGCTCGTTTCACTCATAAAATCCATAATGTATACATCCATATAAATTATCAGGCATGCATATTCTTGGTTGTAGTAAATTTGTCTCAGAGTGAAGGCCCAAGTAGTTGAATTGTTGACCTGCTAAAACTAGCTTGTGTGCAGAATTTTCTGAAACTAAGTGTATTTCAGTAAATTGTTGGCTTACTGCGTGGCACACAATACCATTGTACACTTCTTTGACAGATACTGCTTTTCTGCTTCTAGGCAAAGCTCAGGCCATGTAAACATACCTCCCTGCACCTTAGGGTCATTGATTTATTAGGATTGGTTTCAAATTCATTATGACAGATGGAGTTCCTGCTGCCGGATTCATCACTGCATAAGATAGCCTTCAGCCCAAATATATAAAATATTGCTCGCGCAATGACTGTGATACTTGTGTCCTACTCATTTTTGTTTACAGTGTTAGGTGTTGCATGTGAAACATTTCTCTGTAGTTAAAGAAAACAAAGGTTATGAATTAAGAATGAGCTTTTAAAACTCTGCAGACTTGAAGTTAAGAGCATGAAAAACAGGGGAAGAGGTTTGTTTAAGGCCCACTGTGTACACAGATCTTCTGTGTGAGTGTGTTCCTTTTGAATATAATAATCCCTTTAATGATTCCTTTTAGCGAACCTTCAGGCCACATATTCATTCATTTAAAATACAAACAGATTTTGAAAACAATTCTCCATGCTACTTCTTTAAACAAGTATCTCTTCAGTTAAAAGTACAAGAGTTGGGGCTTCTCTTGCTTAGGCATTCATCTCTGTGAAGTCCAGCTAAGTTAAAACAGATACACTGGTTTGAAGGCATTTGTCAAACGTAGTTATTTCATATGTACACTAGGAGGTATTTTTGCTAATAGAAAAGGTATTTCACCACTTTCAGACTGCAGTCTCATTTCTTCAGATACCATAGAAAGAAATATCTTTTCTCATTTTACTTGGAGTGGATCCATAATACTTGTAATAGTAAAAAAGTTGGTGTTCATGGTTACAATTCACAGCTGATCTGTGGATTTCAAATGTGAACTAACAATTAACTTTCATTCTTATTTTTCATCAGCAGACTTAAGCTGTGTGACAGGTTTGAACATGTTTAGATAACAACTGTTTTAATTACTGAATGTAATTAAGATAGAACCCATATGTGGAAGTTATTTAGTACTCTGCACATTTTGTTTCTTCGGTGTCATCTAGGTGTTCACTGAGTTGCAGTATTTTTTGTAGAGGTTAGATGGATTGAGTACATTTCAGACATCGCTGTAGCAAAAGTGGAAGCTTGCTAATTTTTAACAATTTATAGTTTCGGAAATGTTAAATGTATACTAGAATGTGTACTAGCTACGTAGTTACATTTCATTTACCTTAAATGAAAAGCCTGGAGTCTGTATATTTACAAAATAGTAATATTTTGTTTAGATTAGGTAGTTTCTGTTTTTTTTCTAAGAATATAGAAAGAATCCTTTGATCTAGATTATCAAAATAATTTGATAAAGAGGATTTGTCTGATAAAGTGTCTTGCATAGAATTGTAATAATTTGTTCTTTTTTCATGGACCATAACTTCTTTTATGACATTTCTGTGCAGTGTTAAATCACGTGTTAAAATTGGTTGTTCCATATCATTGCCTTAGTTTTATGAAATATTTGCAAGTCATTCTTCAAAAAATTAAAATACCAGTAAAACCAGATTCTTCCATTGCAGGAGTAGAATTTTCAGTAAATTGAATGATAGTGTATTTTAAAGAATCTTTGATTCTGCATTGTAAACCTCTAGCTCAAGGATTTTTTTTCCCCCTTTTTCTTCTTTTTGGCCTGTGCTTTTCTTCTTTTGTGAGGTCCATCACTCTGTGAAGTTTGGGAAGGGTGGGGAATTGTCTGAAGGGGAGCTTGATTTTGGAAAGCACTTTAAATGCTTTATCTCATGAGTGTCTCCCCCTTGCCCAGTGTATGGCAGGCAGCTGTTGATGAGTATGTTATTTCTGAGTACCAATGTAAATTAATATTAATGTAATGAAGAGCGTGCAGCATGAGGCAGTTCTAATTGCTTTTGCAATAGTTTGCGATCACCAGGCTATGAAGTATTTCTTAGTTTGAAAAAGGTGACTGAAAGTTGATGTGAGAGTGTTTCTATTTGTAAATAAGCAGCACGGTCTAAAGATTCAGTAGCTGCTTTCAGATTTGTTTAGATGAAACTTGACAGATGTAAGTTGTGAGCAGCAGCATAAAACTTTTGATGCAGCTTGTGATTCAGGCCTCCTGTTTTTTCTTCATAAAGTAGTTAGCCATGAATCTCTATGAAGCCTGTAATAGTAAGCCTCCTTCCCACAGCAAGAACACCTGTTAATTTGATTAGATAAGAGGCTGTTACTGTTGGAAGTAAAAGGATATCTGCCAGCCTGGTGAGTATTGCATTTCTTCAGTAAGCAGGTCTGTACGTTCAGTTCACTGTCGTTTGAATTAATGATTGCAAGACTGATGCTTATTTGTGTTGTTATTGTTGTCACAGTAGTAGCACATAAGGAATCAGTTTGTTGCAATTAATTGATATATCTTTGGGTGAAAATCAATTAAACTACTTAGTGACAAGAGACCTGTTTTCCTGTGTTTGTGGAACTGAAGTACATGCTCCACTGCCTTCTTGAAAAAAACTCATAGTACGGACGTGTCTTTGTGCAGGTGTCACAGGAAAACCTGTTGTCCAGATATGTAATGCTAACATTGATATGAATATATTTGCACAGAAGGAGGAGAAAATGGAAGTGGAAGTTACCTTCAGTAATTTTGTTTTTTCCAGGGAAAAGTAGCATAATTTTAGGGAGGCTATTTTTTGAAGACTGTTTAAGTTTGAGAGCATTAGAAAACCTGAATCTAAATTCTTTAGATCTAAAAAAGCTGGAATAATAATGGTCATGATTCTTCTCTCACCTTTTACACAGGTGTTGCTTCAAAAGAAGTAACCTGATGGTTTACAATGCTGTAAATCAGGGGAAGGTCTGTTTTGATCCCTTAAAAAAAAAAAAAGTAAAAAACCCACAAAACCCCCATACTTGTTATAAGGAACATTTTAAATGAAGAAAAAAATTTTAATCTTTTTGTATTCTTCCTGACTCTTGGTGCAGTTTCTTTTCATTTTTTAAAGTAATTGTGCTAAACATGAAATTTTAATATTTCTTTTTAAGCCAAAAAGAAAAAGAGGAAATTAATCTGAGCAGGGATTAATTTAGAACAGCTAATAGTCTGTGAGCCCTGGCATTAGCATGCAGATTCCTGCTTGACTTGGAGTCTCTGTAAGTTCTTTTCTAACTCTTCTCCTGTCTCTGTTTGTTCCATGCTAAGCAGATGGCCCAGAAATTAGCCAAAAGCAGGAAGAAGGTGCAGTACAAACTCCATCAGCTTGATGTTATGCCTGTTCTTTTGTTTTCTGGGAGGGTTTTTTGCCTTTCTTTTTTAATTTGTGCTTTTATTTTCTGCATCCAGCAAGTTTTTTTTTTAAGATTTATTTCTGAGCTACCATACAAGTTGACATTTCTCAGAAGTCAGTTGCCTGATTGGCTTTTTTTGTTGCTTGTCATTAGCCATTTCATGTTAGAAATAGAGTAAAGATTGGATTTATCAAATGGTTACAGGCAGTACCCAAAATGGTTACTAAAGAATCAGGGCTGACGTGGCAGAGGTTTTAATTCTGTAAAATGATAGATAAAAAGTAAGTCTTTTATTTTATCTTTCTATAAAAGTGCTTTGTTTAATTCACAGATGTGTCAAATTGCTGGATGCAAAAAAGAAAAAAAATTATGTACATACACACAGTAATATGCTGAGATTGACTCATCTTAGTAATAGGTTTTGTTTATGGAGTTTTTAAGTATCTTTTAACAAATCTAATTTTTTTAAAATTACACGCGTTTGCTTTCTGTTAACAAAATATGACTTCTAAAGTGGGTTAGTGCTTGAATAGTATGTTGTCTGTCTGTGAAAGTCTTCTTACCAGAACCGCATTATGAATTGCTTAAACTGTACCCACCCATGGTACAGGTTTTTCTGTTGGTCTTGGTAGTCACTGTTAGCCCCTATAGAAATTCCTCAGGCAAGAGATACTGTTAGGCCTTTCTATGGCTTGTGTGAAAAACCTACTTTAAAGTGGGATTCATAGTGTGGAGAAAATGGGAGAATCATTTAGTTTTTCATGAATTCTTCATATAGTTTATGTTGCAGTCAGGTATAATTTTACTGAATCAAGAAAAGTATCAGGGAAGCTCTTATGGGGTTAACAATTTTTCAAATAATATCCAATTCACTTTCACATATGTGTATATAGTTTCCATATCTTTGTGTTTATCTTTAGCTTCTGCAGTCTAATACCCTATCTTGCATTGCTGTTCTGGTGACTGTGTCTTAGTGCACCCCTGTTCGTGAGCTAACATCACTTGTAAGTATATTACCTAGTGTGCTCATTTGACTCTAATCCATTTATTTGCAGGCTCCAGAAGGTGAATCGCAACCCATGACTGAAGTGGACCTCTTCATTTCTACACAGAGAATAAAAGTACTGAATGCAGACACACAGGTATAGACAAAGATACTTTTGTCAGTATTGTGGTAGTAGGCTACTGAAATAGACTTTGACCTACCTGCCAAAATCTGTTCTTCAAAAAGTGCTGGCTCTTTGTATTTCCCTCCAGGATTTCCTAGTAAGAAATCCATGCTCAAGAACTGTGTCATACTGCAGTTACTCTGGTGTGTCTGACTGTAGAAAGGATTAGAATTTGCAGTTAAGCTAATTGCAGTCAGCTGATTTCCTACGAGCTGTGATGCATCAAGTATTGATTGTGCCCAGAGTAGCCCAAAATGGTTGGTGGTGATAATTTGAAGTTCATAGCCCTTTGCACATACATGCCCAGCATATTCAGGTTCTGATATTGAGTTCCTTATGTGCTTTTCCACAGAAAACACAACTTTAATTTGCAAAACTTGCTCTTTGCTTTACTTTTGGAAAGTGAAGCTCTTGTTTTCTATTGGCGCCTCCCTTCATGCATAACAGATATTACAGATTTCATTTCACAAAGGTCTTATATTGCCCTTTGTTGTTTTCATAATACTACGTGTGCAATAAGAACTTCGTTGAAACAGCTGCTCATGTTGGTTTTTGTATTCCCCAGGAAACCATGATGGATCATCCCCTGAGGACCATTTCTTACATTGCAGATATAGGAAACATAGTTGTTTTGATGGCTCGTAGGCGAATGCCACGGTCTAACTCCCAGGATAATGTGGAAGCATCTCACCCTTCCCAAGACGGAAAGAGGCAGTACAAAATGATTTGCCACGTCTTTGAGTCGGAGGATGTAAGGAATTACTCTGTCTTGTAATTTTCTAGGGATGGAAATGTAAGCACGTTTTGGCAGGCTTGAAGTCCATAGCAAGTGGTCCTACTTGTTCATTAATTGCAACCAAATATGTCATCTAAGCAGAGGAACTTGCCTTCTGTTTGCATGTTTGGACCTGACATTTTACTCACAAAATTGATGTTTATAGAAATGCTTCCCATTTTTAAGCTCCTTCAATGCCTTCCAGTAACAATAAGAGAGGGTCCGGTTGCCACATCTTACAAATACCAGCTCAGATTCTGCATGTTAGAGTGAAAGTCTATCAGAAATGCTTGTTTTCCTAGGGAAATTCTAATCCCAAGTATTGCATCAAGGATCACTGATACATGTAAGAAAGGTGATTTTGTCTTCTTTTTGAGGAGGAGGAGATTTAGGTTGGGGAGTACATCAAAAAGCCAGCAAAGAAAGTTGGTGATTCCAGCAATCACAAAGTATGCTGAATAGACACAGCTGAGTAAATTTTAGTCTATGGTGCAGGTTACTGAGTTACCTTATGTAGGACTTGACATCCTGTCTTCACAATCAGTGTGCATAACTTGCTGACTTTATGCGCTTTTAAAGCTCAGAAACTGAAAAATAAAATCAAACATAACAGACTGAAGTGGCTAGATATATAGTTGCCAGGATCATAATCAAGTTATCCCTCATAATTTGGAAAAAGTAAATCTCAGTTCTAAGCCCTCCAAATAGCAGCTTAAGAGATGTAAGGTGAAAATATCAGTTTCTTATAAAATCCTCATATACCTTCCACTTTACAGTGTACCAGCAACGATGTTGAGATGGGAAGGTTTTCTTCAGTAAGCAGCTGATTTTATGTCATGATGAATCTGTTCTAAACCCATGTGGGGATAAATTATCTGGTTGCAGATGAATGTACGTGTATGACCCACTGCTGAGGTTAAAGAGTAAGGACAAGAGCACTGACATAAGTAATCCTTTACCAAAATTTTGACAGAGAACATAAAAAATTGTGGACTGTTTTTTTTTCCCAAAATAATACGTAAGCCACTATTGCAGAGCCTTTCAAGAAACTGATGGGAAAATAAAGAGAATAGCCAATGTTTTTTTTTGTCTTAATATCACTTGATACGCTGCCCACTTTGAGGCTGCTGTTCCTGTATTTCTAGTCACAAGTTTGGACACTGCCAGCTGTCTTCCTGGCCGGCTGAAAAGGAAAAAATCAAACTGTCAGATGCCAGAGGCTGGCGCCTTTTTTCCTTCAGCACGTGTGGTCTGACTATGATCCAGATTTCCTGGATCTGGTTCCCAGGCTGCTATTAATATTTTGGGTAGCTGGAATCTGTGCTTCCTTTTGGGGATCACTGACATTACTTTCAGTCGTTGGTTTGAATCAGCCCATATTTGCGTCAGATGTGATCCTCATTATGCCACTAGATATTGGCTTGGAAAGTACGTGCCTGTAGATCCAGTAAAAGCATTGCTTAGTGATGTGAAAATATGCTGAGAAATTGCAGTAAATTTTATCAGCTTTCCTTAGTCCATGGTATAGTTCACAAGTAGCCTGCAAAATTTATCTCAAATACCCAACTGACTATGAAAGAGTTAGAAAGGAAACATTGTAGTACCTGTTAGAGGCAAGGAGATGGCAGCTTCAAAGATATGGTACATCCAGTGCACTAGTACAGCCTGTTTATATTACTAAACTAATCTGTAAAACTCATTGTCGCCTTTTCTTCTTCTGGGACAGCTGAGTACTTAGTAGAATTTACCCAGTAACTGACTCAGAAACTGTAAGCCCTCATGCAAGTGTTGGCCAGAATGTGTTTCTCCTTGGAAGAGTGCTTATCTAAGGAGGACAGCACCACATTTTCAACTGTATTTAGAGCTGGATCTTCAAATAAGCTGAACCCTAGTGATGTGTCCAAATGCTGGGTGTCTAAATAGGGCTTGATCTCTTCTTGGAGAAAAGATACATGTGTACGTATGTAAAGTCTGCGTGTGTCTCCTCACCTAGGTTACTGAGCTATGGAGGTGTAGTTTTCCCATTTTCTTGCTGTCTTTTTCTTGCTGTCAAAACTGGGTTGATCTGAGCATTGGCAAAATACTGCCAGTGTAGATATTGGCCTTTTCAGCAGCGGCAATCATGCTATTCTCATTAACAGGTTTAGTGCTAGCTTGAGCTGCTTTAAGATGTGATCAACTTTTATTTCAGGGTTGGGAACCTTGCCTTTATTAGGGACTAAACTGGACTTTAAATGTATCTCCTAGGCTGTATAAAAATACACCTCAGCGGTATTCATTCATCACTAGCACTCCCTCGGGCCAATGTTGTCAGCTGTGAAGCTCTCCTCATCTACTCTATCCCTTCGCCACAGCCAGCATTGTGCTCCAAGGGACTGTCTCAATACACATCATGGCCAACTCCTGTGCGCCGCACAGTGCTTACTGCGCATATCGCTCTGGTTATGCACAGCAGTCCTCTGCAGCATGCTGTGCTGCTCTCCTCTCCAGTCTGTTACCTGTCTCATACTAACCGTGATCATGCCCTCAAAGGGAGGCATCCCTCTGGTCTGCTGTTTGCAGCTGCATCCCCCGCCTTGCATGACACAGGGCTTTCCCTGTGTCTGTCTCGTGCCCGATTTCTCTCGCACTGCTGCAGCTGTAGAACTGCTCATGGTGAGAGCAATGCCGTGTAGCGAGTGGTGTATTTGGTGGCCTTAGGTGCATATAAGGCTATGGGAAGCTGAAGGTGTAAGAGGGTGCACACAAAGGACGGGCTGAGAAGGAAAGGGGCAGAGAACTGGCAGTCACAGGAGTTGGAGGGAGGGAAACAAGAAATGTAGGGGAGAGAAGTTGAAAGAGGTAGCAGGGTGGAGAAGGAGATGTGTGTGACCATTTCCAGTTACTTCAGTGGCTGGATCCGGTCACTAGCTGTTGCCCTTTTCCATTTTCATCTGAGACTGAGGTAGGAACAGCCGGTGATGGTTTTAAAGAAGGGTGAGAAAAGGAGGAAATATCCTCTTGAATGTGGTTGTGTGTTTTCTAGCAGACATTGTCATTTTCACTGCTGGCTTGTCAGAGAATGGCATTGGCTCTACTAGAAGGCAGAGCCACCTGGGAGCTGCATGTGTAGGAAGAATTGTAGGTGCAAGCTACAGTCACTGCAGCGGGTATACCTTTACATTTATATTGGCAGTTCTTACCTGTGAAAGGATGGCTTTATTTATATTTCTCATTTATAATTGCTTACCAAGCTGGATTCATGGCAGAGATGTTGACATTTTGTGGGTCTTTTAAATTCATTTTTAGCGTACAAATATATTTTTTAAACTGGATTCCAGTAACTTGACTTGTAGGTTGGTCAGCTTGACTTGATGATCCATTTTACAGTGTAATTGTAACATAGAAAGTGTTACTGCACAAGACCATGAGAATGTTTCACTTTTTCTTTTCTCTTCTCTGCTAATTGCTACAGGCACAGCTGATTGCACAGTCCATAGGTCAAGCATTTAGCGTGGCCTACCAGGAATTTCTGAGGGCGAACGGAATCAACCCAGAAGACCTTAGCCAGAAGGAATATAGTGACTTGCTTAATACCCAGGACATGTACAATGATGACCTGATTCACTTCTCCAAATCTGAAAACTGCAAAGATGTATGTCTCTTGGTTTTTGGTTTTTTTTTTTCCATAACAGCATTAAGCTGCTCTGTACCAGTTGCAGGCCCATGCTGGCAGAAATCAGAAAAGCATTAATATTTCCTATAGATAACCTCCATGAGCCTAGAATATCCTCCCAAGTAGGACACCCTTTCATCAGTTCTGTTTCAAAGGCAAGACAGTGAACCCAAAATTTATCAGCACTGAAATGAAGTACCATCTCTTTGTGGTTTTTTACCAATTTTCAGACGTTTGACATTGTATGTGCATACATTGTAAATTGTATGTACAATTTAACAGGTTACACCAAACAATGTTAAATTTATAGAGGCACAGGTGTTTGTGAAGGTGGCTGATTCCAGATTTTAAAGGATCGGATTTGCTGAAAGGCTTTGCAGCTTGGTTAATAAAGATGAACCAGTGCACCACTGCAACACACAGGTAGTGGTTTTCCAATCCACTATCATAAACTCTTGCAATCGCTTCCTGTTTAGCTTTGCCCACCAAAGCACATCGCACCAGGGTTTCTTCCACTCCAGTTTCCTCTGCTCGCATGCAGAAATAAGTCATGAGGGTGTTTCACACTAAGCAAAATCTATATTATGTAGTGTTGATTATTTCATGTTTCAATACAAATGAAACGTAGTAAAATGTGTACCGTTTTGTTTTGCTGTTGAATTAGAAACACAAGTTGCAAATAAGGAAGGGTATGTGTTTGTTGGTTATATGAATGTTTGGGGCGGGGGGTGTTTGTCAATTCCAAAGGTGTGAAGCAGCTTTTGTTTGAAACACTTTTTCTTATGATACAGGTTTACATTGAAAAACAAAAGGGAGAAATCCTAGGCGTAGTGATTGTGGAGTCTGGATGGGGATCTATTTTGCCTACAGTTATCATAGCCAACATGATGCACGGCGGACCAGCAGAGAAGTCTGGAAAGCTGAACATAGGGGATCAGATCATGTCGATCAATGGGACCAGTTTGGTTGGTTTACCACTCTCGACGTGTCAGAGCATTATAAAGGTATGGAGAATGTTTCTGGAAGTTAGACATTTTAAAAGGATTGCATAATAGGAGAGAAGAAAGTATAGAACTCTCAAGTAAGGTCTTGCCAAGTGTTTGTATACCACTTTCCATTTCATGATTTTAAAACTGCAGTGGGAATTATGCTACACAAATTTTCTGACTCCCAGAAAGTGAGCTGTGCCATTTACTTGTATAGACAAGGACTCTGCAGAACTCCACTTCACAAGAGAATGTTTTGTTGAGAAGGAAGATATTACCAGATATGCATCTGAAGACACTTAAAATTTTATGTGACAAAAAGAGGCACAGGTGGCTTATATTGTCCTAGGCCATATCAGCTGTTCAAATGCCTCCTAGTATCTGGCTGAAACAAAGCTGATGCTTTTTTGTTTGTTTTTTGTTGTTGTTTATAACTCTTTTTAAAACTTTAAAACTTTGAATTAAATACATGCTTATCCTCTGTAGAAACTTTGCCGGAGTTATTTGAAAGTGTGATGCTTCTCTTCGGTTGGTTAAATGTGGTATTTTAATTAGAAGACCTTTCTTCTAGTTATCAGAAAAGCATGTGACTGCAAAAAGCATGCGGGTCAAGTGGAACTGAACAGTGTTTGGGATAGCTGTATCATACAAGGGAATAGGTATTTAAACATCAGAGTTTCAAGAGCCAGAAAGATGCGTCATTAGGGAATGTCTGAGATGAAGCTATATGGACTTTTGTTATTTATCAAAATAGTCCCACAGAGCTCCTGCAGATCATAACGTGTAGACACGTAATGTAATGCTGGTAGTGTACTATACAGAAATACTTCTCTGATTTCTAGGAATGTGACTATTAAACTTAACTTATTTATTTAGGCAACTTTCTGGTAACAAGTTGTATTATGTAATTATTATTTTTTTTTGCATTTTGTATTTTTTTAAATCGCAAAGAGTAAATTTACAAAGTACAAAAAAATAATTATTAAGTAAATTTTTATTTTTTGGCCATGGATTAGTTTCTTAATACTTTAACTAAGATGTCTGCTATAAAGACTTCCCATTCTGGTTTCCAAAAATGGTAATGCTGCGTTCTGATGAGTAATAAATATCTAAGTCACTGAACCAGCCATTTTAGATTCAGTGACTAGAAATGATAGCCTGGAAGTGTAGCATACTAAAAACATGGCAAAAACAGTCTTAAATTTGTGAAGGAAGGAGAAAAAAATCGTATTAAATATCTTTGTGCCAACTCCCTGCAAATTTAGGCTTTTCATGTAGCCATACTTGTTTCCTATCCCACATCAGTTTTATTTCTAAACTGTGATAGTTACGCTTCTCTAAATCTCAGCCTTTTCTGGTGGAGTTTTGTTATGCTCATCTGTACTTTCTCAAAACAGAAACAACCAGCTTTGCTGTTTCCAGCTTCTGCAGACCTTTCTCTTCCTCACTGATACTTACTGCTGTTGCCATAGGAACTGCTAGTCATTTATTTTGTCTTTCTAAAGAGAAGACAGTCGGTATGTTTGCAGATATTCATAACCAATACATCTGGAGCTGTTCATATGGCACTTCTCGTAGCAAGTATATATACCACTGAATGATCTAAGCACGCATTTAAATGTGGCAGAAATATCTCAGGATTTCAGATTTCTTTAGCATGCTTTAAGGACTCCTATGAAAAGATGATAATATTATGTAGATAAGAAGAATGTCTTGCAAGCACTTCAAATAAGATAATTTCAGTATTATAGATGTGATCTCTCCTACTAATTGACCATAAACCAATTGCAAACTGACAGAGCTCAGGAGAAGCTTTCCATATTTGGTGGTTATTCCCCAATTGTATTATGCTATATGTATCCTTTTCACAAGCATCTGGTGCTGGCTGCTATCAGAAGCGCACTCAGGGACTACATAAGCAAATAAGTTGGTGAAATGATGCAATTGTTTTGTTTCTGATCGGCATATATTACCAGTCTGCGTAATACTGGAAATTAGATACTTTTGAAATGCATGTGCTTTCTGTAAAATTAGAAAATTTTACCACATTACTTTTTTTTCAAGGGATACATACAAATAACTTGCACGTTTGTCAGGGAAGTAGAAGTGCAATGATGTCAAGTCTGTTGGGGGCATGTAACACGAGTGAATTCGGATGACTGAAGTTACACACCTAAATTCCTCACAGAAATTACCATCTCCAGTACTCTTCATGACTCCTACCCTCCTGGATTTAGAAGGCTGAGGCAGAAGCCGCTCAGACTTTTGAGTAAACATCGTACCCACAGTTGATTAGTCTCTGTCTTCTACTACATGTGTTGTTGTGAAGACCTGCATATAGAAGATGAGTGGCCCTTGAGTGTGTGTGGTGTGCTGCTGACTCCTCACTGGAGTGGAGGAGTCCATAGCCATGGAAGAGATGGCGTTCAGACCTTCTTTCTGCTGAGAATGGAGTAGAGGCAGTTCCCGCAGCCACGTGCTTTGTAATTTTCTGCTCACACACCCATTCTCCTAGAGCCACTTTCAGTACTCGCCAAGCTGAGCTCAGCACTGCATGGAAGTGAGGGCAGCTGTTTCCTGTGTGGTGGCTGCATCCAGTTTAAGGCACTGACAAGAAAATAGACTCTAAGGCAGTTCACCTTGGCAGGACGCCAGTCTAGTTATTCAAGTCACTGCTGAATCTGGAGTTTAGCTGAACGGAATCAGCAGCAGAAAACTGGATGTAGAGACTTCAGTGTGTTACCTTAGCTATAGTAGAAATTATTTTTCAGAATTAACCTTTTGAAGTCAGTCTCAGACACCTGTTAGTTGCAGTGGGACTTAGATTTCAATTTTGCACATAAAAGGAATTCAGAAGTAGGTATGGAATTGGTAGGTGTTGTAGTAAGTAAGGTGGAAGTTGCTGTGTTCTTTATAAAGCTTTTCTTTTTTTATGTGGATTTTATCTATGTATTTATTTATGGCTAATCCTTTGTGTGAATGAAGCATTTCAGGAAAAATATCGTAGTCTCCAAGAGCTCTGAATACTTGAAGTTGTTCAAGGGGTTAGATTGCAGTTATCTACATTTTTACGTTTGAGTTTTCAGGAAGACATACAATCACAGAGTCTCTGAGGCTGGCAGTCACCGCTGAAGCTGGTCTACAACAGCTTGGTTCAAAGTAGAGCACTTAGCACTGTGCCCACTGGGGTTTAAATAACTCCAGGGTTGGACACTCTATAACCTCTCTGGGTAATCTGTTCCAGTGTTTTACCACCCTGACAGTAGAAATAAATTTTCCTCCTTCAATTTCTTCTGGTAGCAAGGAGTTCATGATAAATGTGACATAACTTGTTTTGAAGGTAGGAGGAACGGAAATTAGGAGCACTGCTTATACAAGCATGATATGAGCAGGACCTGCCGTTTGCTTGACAGAAATGAATATATCTTATTAGGGAAGCCACGTATTTGTGGCTACCTTAGCTACTTATTTAAAATTTTATCTCGTATCCACAGTCATTGGCTTTTTTTGGTGAGCTGCACAGACCTGTTTACTATTCTTTTTATATATGATTTGTGCTATCAAATGAAGAAATTGCCAGCAGGAAGCTGGTTTTCTTAAAACAACAGTGTCAGCTTCTTGGCAAGAAAAAAATGGTATTTTATCACTCGTTTCACTAAATATTCTGATATGTGGCATCCATGTGTGGATTCTGTGTGTGGCATTCAGTGATCAGATTCTGTTGCAATGCAAAGAGCTGTTCATTCAGGGCTGTTCCCATGTCAAGATTTTAACACTTTCTGAACCCCACCCACCCACCCCCCACCCCCGCAATGCTTATGTTAAATGTTTCACTCTTATCTTTGCCAGCATTTTTCATGGTGATTTCTTTTCGCAGGGTTTGAAAAACCAGGCCCGAGTTAAACTGAACATAGTGAGGTGTCCTCCGGTAACCACAGTCTTGATCAGGAGACCGGACCTCAGATATCAGTTGGGCTTCAGTGTGCAGAATGGGATTGTAAGTAGTTTCCACACTCTCTAGTTAAGCTTTAATAGACCTCAAACTTTTTATCCATTTGTGGGTAAGTTTCAGTGTGGGAAGACGGAAGCTGCCATTTTCTCCCTTACAGCAAGCAGGACTTTGCACGTGATGAGATAGAAAAGCTTGAGTTAATCAGAGTTATTTTTTTTTTCTTTGACTTTACTTACTTGACAACTTCAGAGTCAGCCAGAGGAACTGAAAAGCTGTTTTAGGTCAGAGAGACAAAAATGTGTAGCAGAGGCTGTTTTCAGTCTGCATCATTCATGTCTCTAACCAAGCCATTGCATGATCTCAAAAGTAAAAGACTGTCCTTAACCTGTCTGTTGTAAGGCATCTGCATCCTGAACATTGTTAAACTGTGGCCCTTCTTTCGCTCTTAAATTTCCAAGCAGTAGGACATGAGAGATACAACACAAACAGCCTTTGCTGACACTTTGTTCTGCTCTTGGAAGAGAATATCCAGCAGTTATTTGTCACTAACAAATTTAACTTTGATTCAGTGATGGATTACATTTTAGAATTTGTTGCAAGCCTCTCTGTTTAAATGCTGATTTACAGTTTATAGGCAAAAATGAATAATGTAAAGCCTCTGTTCCTTAGCCAGGCCCTGATAAATTTGTCCTTTCCCTTACAGATCTGTAGCCTTATGAGAGGAGGCATAGCAGAGCGAGGAGGTGTGCGTGTCGGCCATCGGATCATTGAAATCAATGGACAGAGTGTTGTAGCAACACCCCATGAGAAGATTGTTCACATTCTTTCAAATGCTGTTGGTGAGGTAAGAGCAGGCAATGTGTCTAGGCTGTATGACATAGTTCATCGCCATTAAAAGTAACAAATAAAGCGAGTAACAAGTTGTGTCCCTCAAGGGACCATACTGGGACCAGTACCTATTAGTATCTTCATCAATGACATAGACAGTGAGATTGAGTGCACCTTAAGCAAGTTTGCAGATGACACCAAGCTCAGTGGTGCACTTGATAAGCTTCACGAAAGGGATGCCATTAGAGGGACCTTGACAGGCTTGAAAGGAGAGCCCATGTGACCCACACGATGTTCAACAAGGCCAAGTGCAGGGTCTTGCACCTGGGTCTGGGCAATCCCCGGTATTAGTACAGACTAGGGGATGAATGGATTGAGAGCAGCCCTGTGGAGAAGGACTTGGGTGTACTGATGGATGAAAAGCTGGACAGGAGCCAGCAACTTGTGCTTGCAGCACAGCAAGCTAATTGTATCCTGGGCTGCATCAAAAGAACTGTGGCAGCAGGTTGAGGGAGGTGATTCTCCCCCTCTACTCGACTCTGGTGAGACCCCACCTGGAGTACTGCATCCAGCTCTGGAGCCTTCAACATAAGAACGACATGGACCTGTTGGAGCAGGTCCAGAGGAGGGCCATGAAAAATATCAGAGGGTTGGAACACTTCTCCTACAGAGAAAGGCTGAGAGAGTTGGGGTTGTTCAGCCTGAAGAAGAGACGGCACCAGGGAGACCTTATTGCAGCCTTTCAATGTATAAAGGGGGTTCTTAAGAATCATAGAATGGTTTAGGTTGGAAAGGACCTTGAAGATCATTGAGTTCCAAACCCCCTGCCATGGGCAGGGATACCTCCCACTAGACCAGGTTGCCCAAGGCCACGTCCAGCCTGGCCTTGAACACCTCCAGGGATGGGGCCTCAGCAACCTCTCTGGGCAGCCTGTTCCAGTACCTCACCACCCTTGAAGTGAAAAACTTCTTCCTAATGTTTAATCTAAACCTGCCCTCTTCCAGTTTATATCCATTCCCCCTCATCCTGTCACTACATGCCCTAAAAAGAAAGAAAGACGGAGAGAGACTTTTTACCAGGGCCTGCAGTGACAGGACAAGGGACAGTGGTTTTAAACTGAAAGAAGGTAGATTTAGATTGTGCATAAGTAAGACATTTTTTACGATGAGAGTGGTGACTCACTAGAACAGGATTGCCAGGGCAGTTGTGGATGTCCCATCCCTGGAAGTGCTCAAAGTCAGGTTGGACGGGGGCTTTGAGCCACTTGATCTAGTGAAAGATGTCTCTGCCTGCAGGAGGAGGGTTAGACTAGATGATCTTCAAAGATCCCTTCCAACTCAAACTATTTGATAATTTTGTGATTCTACCTCTATTAGTCTGTTGCTATTCAAATCTGGAAAGTCAAAGTGTGAGCAAGCCAACATACCATTTCTTTTATTATTTATCCATAGTTCTCCTATGTTTTAGAAGAACCCTAATCTGAAAATAGGAAGTGTACACAATTTTAGATGGTTCACTGGTACTAAACATACTGTTCCATAATAATAAAGCAATACTTCAATAAGGGTATGAAAACTCTCAGGTTTTACCTTTCCCTTCTGTCCTGTATAACCTTAGCAACTTTCTTCACTAATGCTGTGTTGTAGCATGCATGTTAGGAACATTGATTAACTTGTTTTATTTCCTCTAGATTCATATGAAGACTATGCCAGCTGCCATGTACAGACTGTTGACTGCGCAAGAGCAACCAGTTTACATCTAAAGCCGACACCTCACCGTCACAATGTGCATGGAGGATGTTTTTCCTCATTAGTGCTTGTCTTTCTAGTGCTGCATTTCTGTGTCTGCAGAGACATTTCTCTCTCTCTCTCCCCCCCCTCTCCCGCAACACAAACACAGTCTCTCTTCTCCCTCCCTTTTTCCTCTTCTCCCCACCATTTTCCTGGATTTTGGGAAGGGGCAAAATATATCTATGGGACTATTTTGGTTGCATCTTTTTACAAGTGAAACTTCATGCAGTTCCCAATGCAAAACAGGAAAATAACAGCAGCATTGTTCACAGCAGGATTCACAAAGAAGATCAACTCTGCTTCATGCTACATAATCAGTTTTATTTTTGTAGCTATAATTTGACAAATTATAGTAAATTTGACTAAATTAAATGCTGCTGAATGGAAGATGTCTTTACCAAACAGATAGAAGTATAGGGTGCAGAGTGTTCTCTTAGATATCCTGCATGTGACTTTGCTTTTCTTGCCCTATTTTCCCACAGGCATTGAGCTCAGTATTAGAGGTTTATGTCGTTTTGCCCTCAGGAAGAATTACCTGCTTATGAAGTCTCAGTAAATGCTGCTGTTGTAAAATGGACTGTCCAAATACACACCTTTTAATTCCCCTCTGTCATCAGTTCTTCATGATAGTAGGACCCCAAAAGGTACTCTGTGACTTCCTGAAACATGTTACACTTGCATTACTTCCACAAAGTAATTTGGGAGGCATTTTTTACAGCTGCCTCCCCTGCTCTGCCCCCAGATTTCTAACTCTTTGCTTTCTTCTACTTTGTTTTTAAATGCAACATGTCTTTTATAGTCCCTTGCCTATTTTAGAGGTTAAAGGAGGGGGGTGGGAGCATCTTTAAATATCTACAGGAGAAATAGTGAGGGGATATCCTGAATAGCTACACTTTTTCTAGGCTCTTAATTCTGAATTTCATGCACACAGCCATGTGTGCCAGTGTATATAGACATTTTTAAGATTGTGCTTGCTATTTATGAAGTTTGAATATGAGATCTGCAGACTATTATAAGTAATTTTGTTCTCTGAGCCAGTTTTAACCTGTATTTTTGTCCAAAGACCTGTCTAATTTTATTGACTTTCTCTTTAATTCATTATATAGATAACAGTGGAAGGGATGAGGTGGGAATAAACTTATTTATTTTGTTATATAATTTAACTTGTGATTTTTTCCATATGTATGGCACTTAAAGGAGATATGCGTGTACTATATGCACTTGTATGAAGATGATAAACTGTAGAGATATACGAAATCTAGGATTTGATTGGCCTCTAACTTGCATGCTAGAGACAAAAGGGGAAAAAGGGGATGGGTTGATTATTATTTTTTTTTAGAAAGGAAAAAAAAAAGCAGCAGTGGCTTTTCTTCCTAGTGAGAGGAAAATTTTCCATTCTCTGTAGTTACTTTTTACCAGGACTGTGTACTGGTGTTTATGCTGAAATTGAACCATGCATTTAGTCCAGGCTAATATGTTGATTTCTTTTAAAGAAACAGTTTCTGCTGCGTTTTAACTGTGATAGAAAGGCTCAGTGAGACGAAAACACGAGCAGACCACACACAGCCACACACCACTTCTACTTTGTAAATATGCTGTTGCTCACAAGTCACTTGTTTCTCAGTTACTGTGGAGCGGACTGTGCAACTTTAGTGTTGTTTGCAGTCCATTAATGATACCTAGACATTACTACGGAGATTCATGGAAGTGGATGTGTGTGTGTGTACGTGCATACACACACTGGGTGCAGACACTGCTGAGAGCCATTGAGCACTCTTGCCAGAGGTCCATTTTTGGCTTTCAGAAACCATGGATATCCGTGGGCTGATCAGAGGTAGAGAATAAACTTTGTATTTCAGTGGGCAATAAATGTTTAAAGGGGATAATGAAGTGGTGCATAAACTATTGTAGTAAGTGAATATGTTTTAGTGTTGAGATTAATGTATGATGACTTGATTTTACTGCAGTTGTTGTTGTTATATAATTTAATCCAAATCTCCAGAATAGCAGATTGCACAAGAGGGCAGTGTTAGTATTCCAGGTTAGTATTTACCTCTGCTACCTGACCGATGCAACTAGATAGTGAATGAATTGTGAGTATATTGTTTAACTGTAGACATCTGGTTTATGATCATTTGAACTTTTTTCCAGAACTTTCCATATATATAGTAATATATGTAAATATGATATATAACCATGTACAATTTAGAAGATTATATACAGTGCAGCCTTCCCATAAGTTGCCTGAGGAAACTTAGTGAACTCTTGAAGACACATTTATCATGCTTCTGGTTCCTGCTATGTTTACACCCTCAGCTTCACTTCTTTCTGTGGTTCTGTCCAGCTCATGTGGTGGGGTCTTTAACTCACTTCACTGGGAAATGGTGAAGACCTGAACATGCAAATGTATTTAGAGATGAAACAAGTGATTCTCTGAAAATCTTGCAGCCAAGATTCTGTGAAGTTACTGGCACTTGAGTGCTTGAACAGTTTATGATAAATCAGTGCTTAACATTAAGCAAGTGAATGCTCGCAGGATCAGTCTAGCAAAAAATCTCACGTTTTCCAATTACAGTGTGTGTGTAAGATTTCTGAACTGGGAGGTCCATAGTGCGTGCACACTTCTGATAACAGTCTTGTAAACAATCCCATTTTACTTTGTAAAGGGCAAGAGTTTCAAGAAAAAGGAGCTCGGAAGGGAAAGCTGACCATTCTCTAGACTGTTGCAGCAGTTTGTTAGGTTACATATGTGAATTTTTAAGAGATTCAAAGGAACAAACTGTTGGTTTACATTCCTTCATCAGTGATAGACCTGAATTCTTTTTCATCCTTGCTGCTTCATACAGTCTAATTAACTCTTCAGTGTTTACATTAAGGATGAAACATCCCCCCCTTTCTTTTTATTGGCAAATTCCACACATTTGTTTGGAATCTTGTTTGAATTTGAGACTCAGTGGGGATTTCCAGGTTTGCTTGCTTTCCTTGTTTTCTAAATGAAATGTGTTTCTGAAGACAGCAGTGTGCTTGAGATCTCTTGTACATACTTAGCGCAGTACCTAGACTATGAAGTTGTACTATTGTTCTGTAAAGAGGGTGAATAGAAATTATTGTAAAGCGTTGGGAAAAGTATAGTATTGTATTTGTAACAATATTGTTCTTTGTAAACACTTAATGATCTCTATATAAATATAAATATATATATAAATATATGGGAGGTTTTGTTTTGGCTGGGGTAGGGTGGGGGTTTTCTGGCCAGCTATTTTGTTGTGATGTATTTACTGTGCTACATTCCTTTATTTAACAGAGCAATGATGTCTGTAAGATTTGCAACAATAAAATACAAAACAAAAATACCTCAGACAAGGCTGAGAGTTTGGTCATACTGATCTAAAGGTTGGCTTGCCAACACTGAATGCGTGAATGCTTGGAAAGTGTCTGAACTTCTGCCACTTAGTCTGGAGTAATACTGTACGTGTTTCTGCAGATGTGAACCGATGCTATTATTTTTAAAACAGCATTATTTTCAGGTAATAAATGACACAAGTGCTCCTAAATTAAGCTGATTCCTCATCTAAGGTTGCATGCCGGTTTTTACCATGTGAAATGTCACCATGTTTGCATCTTCCAAAAATATGTTATTTCAAGATGCCTTTTATGTGACAGAAATAATATTTCATGGTCTGAATAACTTAAAATATGCTTTTTTCATAAGTGAGGCCTTGTTAAAAATTCTTTATGCTTACTGTAATTTCTGAAACCACTATTTTTCTTCAGAGGTCATCAGCATGGTTTATTATTAAAGACCTAGTGTCATTTGAATAAATAAAAAGTAGAATTGTAATATATCTGTCCTTAGGTTAAATCCTGGAACTGCCTGTGCTGAGGTTAAAAAACACTTTTATAATGAGAGATTGATTATGAAAAACATGATGGTATTTGAAAGTCGACCAGCAAAAGCCAACAAAGGAGCATTTCTTCAGGTGAGGCTTCCTAGGATTTTCTGACCTTCGTAGGTTGTTGTGAGTACTTTGAAACTACAGAAATTGAAACGTATGCCATGGCTGATTCAGAAGAAAACAAAACATGGGCCTTCAGCCACTGGGTGGCTATTCATAACATGAAATACAAATATTGCTGACATGGAAAAATGAAGTATTTCTTAACTTTTCACCTTATTTGCTTAAATGATAGATCAGAGAAAATGGTGAAGTCCTTGGTAAATGGTGCAGCAGACAAGCTGAGGTTGCTTTCTGTTTTTTCCTACGAGCCACCCTCCATCCTCCTGTTTATTACTGTTCTTGTTAAAGCTTTACATTCCAGTTTCTGTATTACAAACTTCTTTCTTTGCATTTCGGTGGATAAACCTACGCCTGGCTTTTCCTTTAGTGGTACGGATACAAATCTCATGGATTTGCTGTCCTCACAGACAACATGTTTCTTGCCCTCACCGCCAGTGTTTTAATGGTTTGTATGTACACGGGGAGGATGAGCAGACCCCACCCCAGTTCCAGCAGCTGGGGTGCTTTGCAGGCTGGAGAGGTGGTGCTGATACCCTGCGGGGATGGACAGTGTCTGCTGGGACTGTCATTTAAGTACGTGTTCAGTGCAGGAGCATATGGTAGGAATCCTGACCTGAAGGACATTGTACCTGCAGGAGTCGGTGATCCGGTGTGTCAGTTAACCTGAGTGTGCCCCAGCCTGTGCTGCCCTGCTCTGTGCTGCCTGTGCAGTGTGGCCTTCAGGGGTGTCTCTCGGCCACAGCATAAATTTAGGTTGATGATACGAGAGGAGCCTGCCGGCAGCCCCCAGCTCGGTACTGGTGGTGACACCACTTGTGTGTCCTTGCCTTTGTCTTAGAAGCACAGCAAGAAGTTCTCATGTGAACATCCTTTGTGTTTGACAGCGGAAGTGATGAATGGAGTTGTTTTCTTCTAAGAAAATCTTGTAATAGCTCAAATGACCAAAATGGGGTAACCCTTGCATGGGTGGGATCTGCGCAACTTGTTGTACCCCAATCATAGGCCCACTTAATGCTGCACAAATTGGGGTCCACAGCATCTGTAGGGATGTAAATTTATCTGTACTATCCTCTTTCTTCATAGCATTAGCTCTAGTAAATAGCATTTTAAATGAGACTTTAGAGTCCGAGTGCCTTTCTTACTGGGATGATAGCAAACTCACACCTCCTGGTGCAAAACACATACGCTTTGGAGTTTTGGTTTTGGTTCTGTCAGTAAGGCAAGAATAATGTCCTGCCATTAAGTGAGAAGGTCACTGAGCCAAAACAAGAACTTTCAGACAGTTTGTGTTTTAATTACAGTTTGCAAATTAACAACCTTCCTTTATAAAGGATAGTGTTAAAACTCTGGACACCAGTTTTTACTGAAAGCCTGCTTTGTATCTGAAGGTCTGCATTTCATGACTGCAGCTTTTAATTTAAATCACGGCACTAATAATTTGCAGAGTTGTTCGATACGGCTTTTGACTGCTGCCTCCACAAGAATGGTGTATTATCATACCCCATAACTGCAGAGGTCACCAAACTTCAGAGCCAAGAAAATGTTTCTGGTTGGTAACTTCAAATAGCGTGGCACATAAAATGCCCAGATTGTGGATGTGCATCCTGGTAGACCTTCTTCCTGGCTTTTCAGCAAGGTGACAACCATGGATAGATCATAAAGTGTATATAGTAGCCATAGCTCATTAGAGAAACTGTTAGGCATTGATGAGCTTAGTGCACAGGAATAAGGTGTATGTATACATTTAGCAAACGGAATTATGTATAAGGACATTATCCATGAATCTGCGTGCTGACTTTTTTGAGGGAGGGCAGCAGCAATTCTTAGGAAACCAAAGAATTTTAACAGCATGTTAATTAAGAGAGATGCTTCTCAGACCTAGTGCACAGTAACTAACTGCAGCACACATGGGAAGGGAGCTGTAGTTCATTCATAAAGAGGTTGGTTGTTGTTATAGGTGTTAATCCTAACTACTGTTTCTGTAAAACACTAGAAGGGACCTTTCTTTCCTTCTCCAGTACAAGGTTTTTGGATACCCTCATTTTCTCTGCCACTGACCACCTGGCATGACTGGTCTCCTGGAAGTCTCCCCTCCCTCGAAACCTAGTGTCTATTTTAAGTGTTTGTATTTCAGCTCAGCCAGGCAACATATCTATAATTTATGCTAATTCTCATACTTTCACAGCAGTGATTTTGTGCAGAATTTTTCCCCACTGGATGATTTTACCAGTGAGTAAATTAAGATGGCGGAAAAATGTCTCCCTGAATCTAAGCAAGTGACTAACAAACAGGCTTGTGCCCTCTCCCTCCACCACCCTGTAATTTCTGATAGTCTGTGTGTGCGTGGTACAGGGGTAGGGGCAGTGAGGGAAAGACGTAATTATGACTTCTAAAGCAGTACGCTGAAACCAGGTACAATTATTTTTCCACTTCAAGTCCATCTTTCATGCTTAGCTTTACCATAAGCATCCACTTCTTATCCACTGATGCTTCTTCCTTCCGTCTTTACTCTGTGGCAGTCTGCATGTACTCTGCCCTTCCTCCCTGTTCATCCCATGGAGCATCTTCCATGGCTTCAGTGAATTTCCCCAGAGTTGTGTATACTGCACCTTCTCCAGAAAGGCATCTTCAAGCAAGGCCATGGAATGTCAGGAGACGTAACCTGGAAGCAGTGGGGAGAGAGACAGTATGACAGATTGCACTGAGTTTTGTGCCCCCCCCGTCTCAGATTGAGAAGGTCTGGGACTAAGAGGGCAGCATCTCACCTGCTAATTAATTCCCATTTCTGTAACCGGTGGCTTTCCCAATGGGTGAGTGTTGCAGGAGGAGTGGTGAAGGCACCTGTATTTGAGAGCGTGATGAAGGGAGACTTTTTCATTAGTTCTGAAGGCTGCCTGGACGGGAAACAAGACTGCATTGGCAAATGGAAGGGGCATGAGAAATTTGTCTTTTGAATGGGTGATAGCTTATAAAGCTGGTAGGTTTTGGGTTGGTTTCTGTTTTTTTTTTTTTAAAATGAAGCCACTGGTGGGAGACTGGCTCTGATAGGAGAGATTTGCATAAACTTTTCCTTGAGAGATTAAAAAACACTTTAGGAAATGAAAATTATTCTTCTGTTGCTACGGGCTGCAATTTCACTGGAACTGTGGTGATTAAAGTTAGCTGCTAGACACCTTGTAGCTCTTGAAATCTTTGCATGTTTTAAACTTGTTGAAATAGCATTAAGTGTTGTAAGTGTCCTTTTGACATTATCTCTTCCTGAGATTCAAATTTTGACGAAGAAAAAGAAACTGGCTATGCTACTATGTCTCTCAGTGCCTGAAGATAATTAAAGTAAAATTTGCTCCATTGTTTGGATATAGGGGTAACTAATTTTTTTGAAACTTGCAATGCTATTGTTCTAATATTTGTAGAGAAACTTCACTTGTATCTTGGAAAACTACTCGGTTTGTGAGAACATTATTTTGCAGTAGACTTGCTTCCTATCTAGAAAGTATTTCTTCTTTTCTGGATTGGCGTGCCACAGTCAGAGAGGTGTGGTGGGGCGGGCTGTAAATTCATGGCAGTCAAGGCGCAGTATTAGGTGTAGTGGCTGAAGGGGCTGAGCACTAGTGGACAAATCAAGAGTCCCAAATGGTACATAATCCTTGCAGTCAGCAAGGACCTGCCTTCCCAGTCCATAGCCAGTAAGGCTGTCAAGTCACTGGTGCAGAATATAATTATTTATTTTTTTTTTTTACACACTGATTCAGCTACAAAATTTGCAGGTGTATTACATGAGGTACACAGAGAACAGATAAGCTCCTATCCTGACATAAAGTGCCTCAGCTTGTGCGTTCTCCATGACGTGAGGCTGCTTACCCCTAGTGCACCCTGCACGTAGACCTGGCTCTCAGCTCTCTGAAATGCTCCTCTGGGACAGGGAAGAGGTCTTGTAGAGAAACCTGTAATAACAGAAAGGTAAATATTCAGAGTCATCAACTTTTCTGAACAATGCTAATTATTTTTTTTTAATCTTTGGTGAAACAGCTGCTGTTGCCATGTGGCTTCTTTTAGCATCTGTTAAAGCATGACTGGCTAAAAAAACAGGTCATGATTTGTGCAGGTCACTAAGGAAACACCTTACCTGGCTAATAAGTTGATTGATAGGGTTTTTTAAAATAATTGTGGCACTCGTCCTGGAGTAGTTACCTGCTCAATTAGAAATTAAGAGCTACGGTAAGCAAATAATTCACTGAAATCAGATTTTTTTCTCTCCTGTCATCTGAAACATGTACCTGCCCTTCAAAGCACCGGCCAATGGCTGACAACTTTAGCTCAGGTTAGTTCCGTTCCACTGGAATAATGAGCAATTAGCTGAATTGTGATCAAGTCCTTCAAAGCATAATCTTATGTTGCCTCCTGACTTGGAGCCCAGGGACCTTTGCAGACTTTTCTCCCAGTAGTGTTGCTGAGAGTTTATATATGGAGTGTGACAGCAAGGTAAGAGCTGTCAAGAGCTGCTGGAAGCACTGATGGGGTGTGCATGATTTTCCTCTTCCACAACCCAGTTTTGTAAGGGCAATGAATAACTGGGAAGAAGCAACTAATACTGAAGATCTGAAAGAACTCCCACTTAAGGTGATACATGTAACAGGAAGAGTTGGAATGTTAAATGTGATTGATAGCTTTTATCTCAGCTCTGTTAAATATTTTGCAATTCTATGATAAAAAAGCAGTGTGTCCCTGGGGTGTTTTCTTTCTTCTCCAAGACAAAACCCCTCAATTTTTACTTGCTGTGTTCTTACTTCTGAGAAATGTACCAAGAGGCCAGTGGTCCGGCAAACTCAATGCCCCTAATGTATTTCCTCTACTAAACAGGAAAAATAAAGCACCAATTCCAGGGTAGAGATAAGCAGTTTTTTATTCAAGTTACCATCTTAAATGAGTCAAGCCATACTGCACAGTTTCAACATCTGAAGAAGCCTAATTAAAACTCACTTTGAAGCTTTGTGGTTTGCAGTGGGAAAACCATTTAATAATTTTTAAACAAAGCTTTGTTTAAATAGCAGCAG